CTTACCGTGTGGATGGACGAGGGAGTCCAGCGCTCGCGACCCGCCGGGAAGCTGCAGGATCGCACTACACACCGAGCGCGTGGAATTCGGGCCCACTAAAGCCACGTACGGACGTGAGACCAAGGACGCGCGTGGGTCGGGGCATGAGACGAATCGATTCGTCGCGACGATGCTTCCTATCGCAGAGTTTTGTTTTTTGGCAGGTTGGGGGTTGGTTTGTATCGTTTTTTGGTTTGCTTGGGTTAGCTTTTCTGTTGGCATGGAATCCAAAGGAGTGCCGGCTAGGTCGTCAGTGCCGACCCAGCAGCTCCCCCCCCCCCCCCCTGCATCTAGCCAATCGTCCCCCGGGCATGACGGCGACGCGACTTACAAGGTATACGCGGTGTGGCAGACGTGTGTGCGACCATCGTTTGCCCGCTGGGGGCGCGACACAGCACGCGGGCGTTGTAGTTAAACGGATGGCCTGGCGTTCGAATCCAGGGCGGAGCCGAACTTATCGGTGACCACGGGCCTCAGCTGGCCGGTCGATCGTTCGAACTTATGATGACAAGGGGCAAACGCTGACATTTTCCGCGGGGCGCACCTCAGGGCGCGCGGCGCCACAACACTCATAGCATACCACAGCCGGTATCAAAGTCTGACAGAACGAGCGGCTACGCGGAGTAGCTGCCTTGGAATCGACGGGATGAACTCTCGCCGGACTGCCAGATTTTCGACCGGTACGCAGTATGCCGTCCTTTCCCGAAGATCGAGCCTCACAGGGATCGTAACCGAAGGATAATAGGCGTGGAACGCGACCGAGCGGAATGGCTCGGCTGTGGCCGGGATTGAGGAGTCAGAAGACCGCAGTCCTGCTCTTACCCAGATGTGCGTTCGTGAGAAGGGTGACTTGAAGGCAGTTTCGCTCTTTTTCGAGCTAAGAGACGGTCGACTAGCTCCATTGTCTCTCACTTGACCTCAAGCGTGATAACCAAGAACCAGTGGGGACCGCCCGGTATGCCGGATTATGAACAACGGTAGCTCGGTCTATCCGTTTGGGTACAATGCCTTGGGAGAGAATAGAACGCGGCCCGTTTCCTTCCGACGTGGTGTATTCCAGGTCTTATGAGCTCTAGATGGCGGAATAGTCGGGAAGAATAGAGATCCCACCGTCGACCCTTAAAGGGAGGACGACAAGGGACCGGGTCGCCGGACAGGCAAGCCAGACTGTCTTTAGAGCACACCGGCCGTGGAGACCGTAAGGCGTGAAGGCAGGTTACGCCGAGCGCTCGCTGTCTGCCGAGGGGCTTCACCGTCCCATGAGGCCCGCTGTCTGCCTCCAGGCCTCTAAGCGGTGCGCCGTGGGGCAGTGGCAAGCAAAACTCACTCCGGTTGGCGGGAGGCGAGGGCGCAAAAGCACCGGAAGCGACGCCTCCGTGCTGGACGAGGCGAGTCCTAAGATGCGTGCGCGGCATCGGAAAGCTGCGAGCGGTGGGCGTGGCCGAAGTGGGCCGCCCCACCGTCGCCGTCGAGGTGGCCATGGTGGGCCGTCCCACCGCGGACGGGATGCGTGGAGCGTTGTCCGAATAGGGAGCCCTCACCCTGGAGGTCAGGCGAGGGAGCGAGTCGTCATCATGCTTCGGATACCTGATGCTGGCCCAGTAGTTGCGTTGGTGCCAAGCTGATAAATTAACTTGTTAAATAAATTTAACTTAGCTGAATGAGGACTCGCGCAGACGGATCAATTATAACGCCAAGGCGCTTGAAAGTGGGAGGGGTCCCATCCGTGTGCAAGCCAAGAATGAGTGGGTTGACGTGGGCGCCAGCGAATGCGTATGCTTGCAGTGAGTCTGGTAGGACGCCGAATGCATGAAATCATTGTGGAGTAGTTTAGGCCGAGGGGGAGGGGGTGGGAGGCTTCCAGGGTTGTTATCCAACGGGCCCTTGCCAATATAATTGCCGGTAGAGTGAGATTCCTGCCGATTTGGGCGTATTTTCAGTGTGTCTGGTCCAGTTTTTGCCCCGCCTAAATATCATCACCAATTAAGAGATGGAGGTAGGGTACCGTAGATAAGGGCGCACAGCCATGTACGGAGAGACAGCCGTTCATGATGCCATGATGCCTGACCGGACCTACCATCCCGCCAATGTCCAGGTCACCCGCTTCATCCTAGCTCTATGGCTCACACGAGTGCGTGTTCATGTCCGGTGTACCGGAGTCAGAACGCGCCGATTCGTGCGCTAACATCTTTTGGTGACCAGTGGGCTCCTCAGTATAAATTAGCTCCTATGGGGAGGTGTGGCAGCGGCAGCTGGCGGCGCGCAAACATCCAATGGCGACCCGGCAGCAGCGCAGCGCGCGCACCCTACCGCAGAAGGCCCCCGCACATGGAGATGGCGGCCTGAGCTCAGCGGGGCTGACGGCGCCGCCCTCAGCGCAGTGCGCATGCTGGTGCAGATATAGAGGTCTGGGAGCAAAACTGGCACGAGTGTGAAGGAATTTCGTATTCTATTCGCCGCGCATAATGACACAATCACCTTTCTCGCACTAAAATTTGAATGCCATTGGTACGCAGATTCCATTAAGGTATGTCTAGGTAGGCTTTAACATGCCAGTTCACCCTGCTTATCGAGCGTAATGTGTTACGATCGGTAGTGTCGAATGCCGATATGGTTGTTTAGTGACTTTCAGAGGTCACAGTTTACAATACTCCACCGAAACCGTGAGCCACTCACGTGCACATCCCTCACCAGACGTTTCTCAGACAGTTGCAGAGTCGTAGTGATTTTGTTATCGTGGCGATTGGGATTTTGAAACACAGAGTTTTGTGCTGAATTTCATAAAAATAATATGCTAGACTGAAAGAAACTATTGTAGATACTTATGAGTTTATCTTTAGACGCAGGCATTCCCCGATAATGCGATTGGTATCATCAAAGTCGTCATTTTATGTCTTCCTGGAAACGTGTCATACCCACGCAATGCCACTATGCTTTTTCACATGCTCTCGCCCCAGGATTGGTAACCTAATTTTTGTAGCTAGATATTCAACTTTTATGTTACACAGATTCGAACAAATTAGGAAGACATTGTCCACACATCACTTTGTGCCGCTTTTTCGGCATCATGACTTATGAGTATCAGAATTGATTGCCAACAGGGTATTCGATGACCTCCCGAGATTACAGCTTTAGATGCCCCACGAAAAGTATTTATGGTATTTCATATTTTTAAAGTCTTTGTGGTATCCTGTGGAAAGGCTAACAATAACATCAACACCAAAAATAATGATTCTACATTTACTCTTTCAGTTCTACCATCAGATTCCAGTACTACTCCGCAGAACTGTAAATGCCAATCCGTTCCTATCATCAACCTAAAAATCGCCCAGGTAAAATGTACACCCGGACTACTTTCTAAATGTCCTTCGATGCCCTAAAGCACCAAAAGTCCTTTCTTTCAAAGGTATTATTTTTGCCCACCCTTTGGCAACGGCTTAGTGATAGCTACTGGGTCGACCCCGAGTGCATAACAGAGACTGCAATGTGTGACATTGAGGTTTTTGGTTGCTAAGATTTGCGAACGCTCATGTTCAAAATTACGTTATTGGGGATGTACCATTGATAGAGTCAGGCTGAATGTTGAACATGACCAGGCAAACATGACTTGGTCATGTTAATACAAACTGTTGACCCATTTCGATCTATGTTCGCAGGTTCCTTAAGCTCTTTGTGTAGCAAACATGAAGATTCTAGCAAAGCCTTCAGCTTTATCGGTCTAGAAAGAGTCCTCTAAACCATTGTAAAATGCGATTCATTGCGACAAACAGCCAACCTTTCAGGCCCTTATGCCCTCCAACCGGCCCATTGATTGTTGGTTCCGGTGGGCCGCCCGAGACCCTTTTCGGGCCTCATCAAACACTGCCCTTGGCCAGCTTGGGGCTCAATGCGCACACAGGAGTTCGCGTTAGGCAGTCGGCCTCTGAAAGATACAGCGGCCCCGACCAGTATAAATCGCATGGCTCGCGGCTTAAATCGCGCAATCGCGGCTTTGTAGCAGATAAGGAAGTGAGCCCTGAGGCCCGCACCGACACGGAGTCGACAGTGCGGTAACTGGCGGTGCCTGACTGACATGTAGGCCCTTACCTTCTCAGGAGCCCCCCATCAGCGCGCAGGGCCTTCCTGCTGCTGGCATTTGAGTGTCCGGCCCTGCGGGCCGGGGCCCCTGAATGCGACCTCCGGCCGGCCTTTCGGGCCCCTTAAACAGGCGCTCTAGTCGTGGCCCCCTCTGAAGCCACGGAGGCACGTACCCCCGATTCCTCCTGCCTGTGTCTCTGCGTGCAGGGCATGCGTTCACTTTGCTTGATGAGAGAGAATGGGCTCGCGTGTCAGTGCAAACAAGATCCTGTTTTAATGAGTTACAGTCTGTCAGTTTATTTTGCAAGGCTCCTCGCCATCCGTTCCACCGTGCTACACAGCCCACCATCAACAAATGGCGGAGAGATGAGATTTATGTGAGCTAGTCAACATGATTGCTGGCCAATTTTGCAGTCATACGATGATGCTTCTTGTTGGCTGCACCTACGGACTGCACCTTCAGGATGACGCGGGTGCTCAAGGCGCCGTTTGGTCAAGAGCACAACCCTAAAAGCGAAAACACTGCCACGCTGAAGCAATTGCACCTTTTTAGTTTTCAACAAAACCTCTTGTCGTCTGGCCGATTTTCCCCCCAAATCTCTCGTTGTCCACACTTTTGAGTGGCGGACAATATCCGAGCAAATGTTACAGCACTGTATTTGTACCCGTAAGGCATGTCAAACACTTGACAAACTACGCGTCACAAACCATAACATTATCAAACATGAGATCACATCTTCGCTCTTTCCGTCCCACATCACATAATGTCCCTCTAGCAGCATACGAGCATAATAACTGAAGCTCGTGCTCAGTTCCACCCATCCAGTCGCGGTGTATCCCCGAAGGTACGGAGCGTGGCCGCACGAATGGTACGAAACCCGGCGGCCTAATCCCCGGCCCAGCCGTCCCTGCAGAGCACCAGGATCCGTCCGCCGCGCCTCTCGTCGGAGGCGTGCGCGTGGAAGACGCTCGCACAGACGGTAAAGCCGCGCACCTCCGCCGCCAGCGTCCGCCACAGCCCGTCGAAGAGGATTATGTGGCTGGGTAGCCGGCGGCCGGCTGGCTCGGCGGCCGGCTGCGCCAGCAGGGACGGGTACTCGTGCCGCAGCCAGCGCAGCGGCCCGCTGTAGAACTGGTCAGCCTCGTCCACGTAGTTGGCGGCGGCCGCAAGGTTCGGCTCACACGTCAGGAAGCGGGTCGTCACGTTCAGGTGCAGGTGACTGCCGACGAGACGCCACGTACACCGAATCAGTCCGGGATTCAGGGTCCGACACTGGCCAGCACACAGCAAGCGGCAACTCACAGCAGGGCGGGGCGCGCTCGGTCCCCCGGGCCAACCACTCCACACAGATGAGGCGCTCCCATGAAGGTCAGCCTCCAATGTCTTCTGATGTTAAGTCAATGCCCGTACGTAACGAAACGATTATGCGAAGCGCATGCTGGTAACCATCCACCTAACCCCACCACAGGCACTCATTTACCTGTACAAAGGTGTGCTGTGACACGGCATCAGGTAAAGAATGGACGCCTTATCCAACGGGCCGTCGTGCAACCTTGCCACCAGTTGACTAGTGACATCTAGCGGGCCACGTTGATGAACGAGCCCCAGGTAGAGGGCGGCAGCGACGTTTGTGAGCAAAATCAACAGCTTCAGACCTGAACAGTACCTGAAAAAATTGCCGTGGTTACGCACTCTTAGAAAAATGTACGTCACCAACAGCAATTGCCTTACACACACAATCGCAGAGCCACAAAAGACTTATGTTCACCAGTGGAACCTGGATTATGGAACCTTGTGCCCTGGGCTTGTGGCTACATGAACTGTAAGTTGTATTCCCAGGTAAAATTAATGACATGGTCACATGTTAAACTGTAATTTGAAACTACCTGCAAAAACATATGACAGTACAAAATCTTAGCATTTAGTATCCCAGACTTCCTTCATTAATTGCTAATGAATCGACTTGTTTTTAAGTCTTTTATTCAGTCAAGGGAACACCACTAGAATTTGCAAGTGCAAAAACAATCAGCAGGCGAGACTACAGGTAAAACAGCCCTTTCGAGCCCCATCGAGTGATAGCGTCTTGGTCAGCGCCAGGTCTGGGATTGGCCAGCTTGGAGAACAGCAGACATGGTCCACAGCCGTTGGCGCGGCACATATGGATGAGCTGGACTTTACTCATTATACTCGTACGACTCCCTCAAAAAGAGGTGTCTGCATTGTCACGAAGTGGCCGGAGTGGATGACGCCAGAATGGTTGGTCACGCCGGACAGGCTGTGCTTACAGCCCCCTGCCCAGACCACTGGAGGAGTCAAAAGTGGTATTCGGCTCGTCATCATGGCAGAGTATATTTGTGGCAAGTCAAACACCCATCCCATACCCCAAATCATTTGGCGCTCGAAGGTTGTAAAAATGTGCTCCACAACCCTGAAACAAAGACAAATGCTTCAACCCGAATGGTTGTTATCCTCGAATTTAACACTAATATAATTACAGTATTAGTGAACATAACTGCTTCTTTAAATAATGTTTGCGGAGAACACTCGTCATTGCCAGAAAAATATCACCGATACTCGGCTACTATCGTTGACAATTTTGACAGCTTGTGTTGTGTACATCTGCGTGCAGTTATCAGCCTGGTTACCTCTCGTTGGTTCGACTGAGCCAGGAGAAGCCTTTGCCAGCAAGTAACGCGCAGAATGGCCAGGCTGGCAGCAGAAACCGAAACTCCTTGTGTGGTAGGGCGCTGAAACCATGCGTCACACAGATCAGTGCACGGAAAAGCTCAAAAAGCCCTGGGCATGACACTGGGATGGATGGCAGCGACGGTCTGCTACGAGAATCCGGGTCGGTACGCGACAACCTACACTTGCCAGAGATGGGCTCGCAGCCCAGCGTAATACAATACATCTCTTGCACACAGATGGGCTGCGCGTCGCAAATGACGCATGATGGGTAAAACACACCACTTAAAAATGGCGTCAGAGACATAATGCATGGTTCAGCTTTGGGGGCAAGGCTTCATCTGCACAGTGTATAAGGGCACAGCAAAGAAGGACCGAATCACCAGCCACTTCAGAATTACAGAGGCCCTGATCTCGATGGATGTCCAAAGCAAATATCAATGACTGAGATGATTAACCACAAGACGGCCAGCGCACCTGAAAACGCGTGAAACACTGAAGCGCGTCCAAACGACACGTCACCGAAAAGCGCGTCGTAGGTAAGGTCAGAAGGGGCGCCAAGCCGCGTCGCGTTACCTGTACACGGCCACCAGCCAGAGCAGTGCCGCCAGGCAGACCCCCTCGGTCCGGCCGGGCCGGCGCGCCGCCAGCAGCGCCGGCACCGCGTGCAAACCCAGCAGGGTCGGCAGGCTGGCCGTCAGGTGCGCGTGCCACGGTGACGTGCCGTAGTGGGAGGCCACGCCGCCCAGCACGTTCCAGCGAACGAAGGTGATCGGGCTGAAGAGCGGCGCGCCGTGGCCCAGGGAGTCAACCAGCAGGCACGCTGCCGCCGCCGCCAGTCTGGGGAAGTCGACAACAACACTGCCACCAGAAGCGCCAGAACAGAGCACAGTTACCGGAGACGACGAGTGCGCATTAGCATGGTAGAGGATGAGCTTAGAGCAGCGTCACAGGGAGAAACCAGCACAAAACTGGCACTAGGAAGATCGCAGAGAGCACAATACTGTCAGCACGGAGCACGAGCACAACCCGAACGCCATCACCACGACATGGATCGACGCGGATCGCCACCACCAGGCAAACGACCATGGACCACTTAAACTACGGGGAAAATAGGACAAGCAGACAACATCGAAATTCATGGTGGCAGATGTAAAACAAAACAAGTTGGATACTACCATGCCTAATGCTCAGATGCGCATCACTCACCACGCCGAGCCATGTAAACAGCTTCAAACGGGCTAGATCGGAGGTCAGATGGTGGTCAGCGGAGGGCGGGGGCGGGCGTGGCCGCATCACCTGACGAACGTCGTCAGAGACACCTCTCACCCGGCGGCGGACGAGGTCAAGAGCAGCGCGCACTTGTTGCTCGTGTAGCTGAAGTCGGCCAGCCACAGCGGCAGCCAGGTGAGTGCTGCGGTCGGTCGCAGCACGGCCGCCAGTGCCCCTAGCCAGAGGTAACCGCGCACTGGGTCACCTGACGAACGAGACTGGCGGGGTCAGGGTCACGGCAGGTCCCCATCCATAGGTAACCGCGCACTGGGTCACCTGACGAACGAGACTGGCGGGGTCAGGGTCACGGCAGGTCCCCATCCATAGGTAACCGCGCACTGGGTCACCTGACGAACGAGACTGGCGGGGTCAGGGTCACGGCAGGTCCCCATCCATAGGTAACCGCGCACTGGGTCACCTGACGAACGAGACTGGCGGGGTCAGGGTCACGGCAGGTCCCCATCCATAGGTAACCGCGCACTGGGTCACCTGACGAACGAGACTGGCGGGGTCAGGGTCACGGCAGGTCCCCATCCATAGGTAGCCGCGCACTGGGTCGCCTGACGGACCACATGCAGGGTCACCTGGCGAGGGCTTCGTCCGGCCTACAACCACCACATACTATTTGCTGGAAAATCACAGGCTGACAAGCTGTGGTCATGACAGCTGGTCGCATCTGAACTACTGAACATCACGCCTATGAAATGCGTGCGAGTGTGCGTGCGTGGCGCGAATGTGTTGCACTCAAGTATGATGCGAATGTTGGAACCCCCGCAAGCGACCACGAATAAATATGTTACTACAGAATATATAGTCTCTAACAGTGCAGACCTCGGATGTCCCCCACTGCCAGCCTGCTCACCCAGCCACGGTCTCCACGGGTACCGGCGGAGCGCCATGGCCAGCAGCGCCATCTCCACGGTGTTCGCCAGGGTCCGGGAGCCGCAGTAGAAGAGGCACCAGGAAGTGGCCAGACTCCAGGCCGTGTGGCCAGCCGTGTGTGAGCCCCACAGCCGGTGGGCCGCCTCCACCAGCGCCACGTCGCCGGCCCAGGTGAGCAGCGCCACCAGCAGGCGCGGACTGTAAACCTGGGGCCGGCCGACGGACGGCGCCGTCACAGTGAATACGACGAGCGAGCAGGCCATACGACGAGCCGGACGGCCACCAGCCGCTCTAGTAGCCAGGCCGAGTGCATGCTTTATTACTGACGTCCATTGCACAGTCGACAAGAAACACTGAAGGTCTGGCGCACAGATTTGCCTTGTTGGTCTGACTATGGATAACAAAACATCAAATGCCTTATCTTTGGTGCAAAGCGAGAAACCCGGCGCCGAAGTACGCATAGACCGCTGTATGGCTGGCAGTTATGTTTTCCTTACTACACTCCCGGCACCAGATGACGGGTACGTCGGGGGCCCCCGGGGGCAATAGTAAGTCGGTGCAGTGTCCCATCCAGCATAGCCAATCCATGGTCCCAGAATACAGACACATTTCATTCCACACCCATTAACCGGAGTGGCGTGACAGCTCTGTACCCATACCAACATTTCTCTACTGTCCATGTTCAATATTTGTAAAATCTTGTACAGTCCTCCAATCAACAGTGGTAGAAGGTAGCTTCGAATCCCCTCTCTCCACTCCCATGTACTGTAGCCATACCTGAAAACGTGGGGCAGGCTGATGATGTGTAAGCACTGTTTAAAACATGGCACACACTGTATTTGTTGCATGGCCAGTTGCATGCTAATATCAGAACCCGAAACACCATGAGGAATGTCATCAAATCCCAAATCTTCCACAACCATGCAAGCCACATATAAGCAAAAGCTAAGTAATATTTGCAAATAAGCTTGATGTTTGAGAACGAAATTGCTCTGAATACATTACAGTGTACCAAACAAACAGGAAGTGTCTGCAGACCAGTCAGTGCCTAAAGCCAAGCAGCCTAGTAGCAGGACATCACAGCATACCAATGTGAAAGAAGCTCACGCATCTAACATGGCCTGCTGTTAGAGCTGATGAACAGACAGACAGAGTGATTGAATGAATGGCCTGCCCCTTTAGTGATAAGTCCCTGATCAGGCTTGCCAATCTGGTAAATACTAAAGAATAGTCCCCTGAATCCACTTCCCGACTCCCAACTGTCTACATGGTAATACGCACCTAGGTGTTGGAACTGGAGCAATAGGTCACTGTGGTTTCATGGACTCAGTAGCGCAGGCAGAGGGGAATGGGGCACACAGGGGGAACGTGCCGCCCTTAGATTCCAAGGGGTCTGGAGGATCCCTCAAGACATACGATTAAGAGCCCGAAACGCCGGCCAGATGTCGTATTCAGGAGCCCCGGCCCGCAGGGCTGGGCACTCAAATACCACCCAGAGAGCCCTGCGTCTGATCAGGGGCCCCTAAATCGATGAGGGCCGATATGTCCTCAGACACCGCCAGTAACGCACATCCGACTCCGTGGCGGCGTGGACCTGAGAGCTTATTTCCCGAGCAGCGGCAAAGCCGGAGCCACTGATTTACATTCGTCGGGCCCACAGCGCCTAATGCGCCTTGTACTGGCAAGGGGCACCAAGTCGGCCACAGGCAGTGTTCGAGAAGGCCCAAAGAGCCTGGAGGGCCCACCAGGTCCGGCGATCAGGGGCTCGATTGGACCGTAAGGGCACGAAAGCCTGGTCGGGATCTTATTCAGGGGCTCCGGCCTACGGAAACGGATCCTCAAATGACCACCACGCGGGTCCTGTGTGCCAATCATGGATACCGAGTCGCTATGGGTCTATATTTCGGTCAGACACCACCGGAACCGCACAGTCCGCTCGTATTGGTATAGGCCCGAGGGCCCATTTCCAATCAGCTACAAGGCTGGAGCCAGAAATTTACGCCAGTCAGGGCCCGTGTATCTGTCTGGGGCCCACAGCACCTAACAGAGGACCCTGTGCTTACAAGGGAATCCGATCCGACTAACAGCAATGCTCGATGAGGCCCGTTCGCTCCGTCAGGGCCAAGGCCGGGGGGCACGGGGGTTGGAGCCATTGCGTCGATCAGGGGCCCATGATGCATAACAGGAGCTCATGTTACGGCTAGTGACCCCTAGTCGATCATGTGCTTTGTATGAGGAGGTCCGAAGAGGGTCGGAGAGCCCCTCGGAGCCAACGATCGAGGACCCGATTGCACTCGGGCCGTAAAATGGGGAGCGCCCGTGACATGTGTCATGCAGCGTTCAGCGCATGCTTTCTTCAGTGAACTGTCTACAGACTCAACAGAATTGATCTCGCGGTAACTTCTGGCTTCTATTCCAGCCAAAGAAGACAGATATGAAAACCATCAAGGAAAAGCCCTCAATGCCCAAATGCCCTCACAAACGAATGGCTCTATTCAGTGACTTTTTTGGTACTTTACTGTCGCAGATTTTTAGGTTATTTCTCCCCTTTGGCTATCAGGGGCCCTTTGTCAACTGTGCCCTTCCATGCCAACGTCCTGGCTGCATGTATGGATGGGCGTCATATAATTATGTCCTGGCGTGTTCAGGCTGAAATCTAAACTGGACATGTATGCACATGGCAAAAACTCACAGAAAACAACAAACAGCCAAATGCTGCACTAAGTATGATGATGACAGTGTCATGACAACAATGCTTGCATCACGAAATCCAGATATATCATTGCGATATGATACCTGTCTAACCGCTGGATTCAGAAACTGCCCATCAGTAAGAAAGCACGCGGAAATTTTAACAGAAACCAGCTGGCAATAAAAGTGTCATCCTTTGTTCAGAAAACGCATCACACGTTTTCAACGCACCATTCATGCAATCACCTTTATTGAATAAACAAGCCATTTTCTTACGAATATTATGGTCATGCCTCTCCACAAGTTTTAATGGAGAGACTTGCTTAGCACGAAACAAGCTTACCACATTTTATAGTGCAGGTAAACAGAACCAGAAACACAGCCTTACAACAGCACATGTGGAAAATTGCTGCACCCTCAGGTCTCAGCAAAGGATCATAACACATGCCCGGTGACAGACAAGGAAGCTGGGCACCACACACTGATCTGACAAAGTTGAGCATCCGCGGCATATCGTAAATATTATGTATACGAACCCAAAGCTTATCTTGTGGGCAATCTCCAGAGACTGCCAGTACTCATCCGGAACAAAGATGTCTGTGTTAAGACAACAGATGCAAGCCTGATTGCCAAGAGCACTAGTGTCCATTTCTTCATATTTTTAATCTGCAAGAGAATGCAATAGAGCATGGGGTATCAAAACTCGCAGGTTTCGGCACAGTTTTGGTCACAAAGTGACGCGCATGCACGGAGATGTCCAGGGCATTGATCTAAACAAATAATGGATGATAGCAATGAAAACTGGATTCTGTCTTCCGTATACTGGTAAACAACAGCTCATACATCATCTGTTGCGTTATTTGTCTAATGGCATTTGCATCCACATCTTCGCAGTCATGACGGGATGGGCCTTCTAAGGCCCGCCCGCCACCAGCAGGTGGCGGACGGCTGCCCGGCCGGCGGTGTGGCGGCAAGGTGCACTCAAGAAGACGGAGAAGCGGCTGGCGGCCCTGCAGGGCAATAACTGTCTAGTCCAACAACGGACCTCCGGCAAATCGGGCCGCCCAAACTGTTACAAACGTAGCACATGTGTTTGTGTGTTTAAAGAGTAGAGCTGTAGCGACCGTCTCATCGCTTTCGGGGCTATTGCCACGCATTAGAAGGCGCCACTTCGACTGAATTGTTCAAGTCCAGTACGGGTTTCCCCTTCAGGCGGGATGCCAGACCGGCCAGAGTGGCACAAACATGGCACATGTGTACCAATGTGACATATGAAGATATCTATCGACCATTCTATCACCTTGGTGATTGAACATGCCATTGTACAAGCGGTCTGGGTGGCTGGCGACCGGCCGGACGATACTTGTCCATAGTCCAACGACGGACCTGCCGGCGAGTTAGGTGCAAGACCACCCAAACTGGTACAAAATTAGCACATATACATGCATATAAAAATGATGGGCATATGCTCATGGGTCTTTGGACTTTGGCATTGAACTTGTGACGTTTTCTTTGTAAAAGCGGTCTGAGCGACATGCAGCCACGCGGAGAAGTCAGGTATTCGGGAAGGTCAGGTCAATGTTATAGGCTGCGCCCTCCCCAACCCGACTTTGAAAGTGCCGCCCCTGCGGCGAGCCACCGAGCACGAGTGGGACCGAGCCCAGCTGGCGGTGACCTTGGCCGAACGTGCCGTCCGGGTGCGCGGTGCGCCGGCGGCGGTGCCTCGGGGACTCGGAAAGGCCTCCCCGTAAACTTCTGAGAATACCGAGCATGGCGAGGAGGGGACGGCTTCCATCCAGCCCGGCTAGAGCTAGGGCGGTGATGAAATTTCAGGATGTGGTGAAAGAAAGACGGCTTTCTCCAACAATCTGCAGGGGCGTAATTCCGGAACGACAGTTCGGAGGCTGAGCCGCGACAAATTCTGAATACTACCGCCCCTTCCAAACCACCACCGTCTTACCCCGGACTCGACACATTTTTCTCTCAATGAGGGGGCGGTGGTTGGGAGAAGGATGGTGGGTGGGTGAGCGGAAGCTTTCCTATTATGAGTTTGGGCGGTATCGCATCTAAGGCTGCGGACTGGTGCGTTACTGGACATGTGGCGCTCGTCGACCAGGCGGCCGCCGTCACTCGGAGTACTTTAAAAATGGAAGCATGACCACTCCATTCCAGAAAGCGATCGAATGGTCGAAAAATGCCCCCATTTTTCACATGCGTGCACGCATCCAATGTTTGCGCTTTGGCTGGATTTGCATCTAGCCTGCAGGGAGGTCTCTTACTGGCCCTGAGCAATTCAGCTGAAGTTGCGCCTCATAATTCATGAGTATGGACCCGAAAGCGATGAAACGTTCGCATGGCTCTCGAATTTGGGCATATACATGCACACGTGCTACGCTCGTACTAGTTTGAGTGGGCTCACACCTAAATCGTGATATTTGTGGTAACTCCGTTGTTGGGAATTACCACAAGTACTCCAGGAGGCAAGTTTCGACCGGGCGACCGCCTGTCACTCAGAGCGGCTTTTAAAAAAGAATATTAGCAATGCCAGTCACCAAAGAGATAAAACGGCCGACAACCACCTCAATACGACACATGTGTGCGCACATGCCACGTTTGTGCCGTTTTGGCCCGTCTTGCATCTATCGTGCAGGAAGGTCTCTCGATGAACTTGGGGCAGTCTAGCCGAAGTTGCGCGTCATAATGATTGACATTGGGACCCAACAGCGATGACATGGTCAGTACAGCTCTGGCATACGCACGCACATGCATACATGCTACGTTTGTAACAGTTTGTACGATTTAATTTGCCGGGGGTCCGTTGCCGGAGTTGCCAAAAATCGCCCGGCAGGGCCGCCAGCCGCTTCCGTGCTTGCTCGAGTGCACCTTGCTGCCGCAACGCCGTCCGGGCAGCTGCCCGCCACCTGGTGGTACCTGGCGCGATGGTCTCTAAGCAGACCTATCCCTACTGCCCAGCGGACCCTACGTGGGTACAGAGAAATGCCACAAAGTAAAATGTCATGCAATAGTTAGCTTTGTACCCTATGCCTTGGCAATCTTTAAGCCAAAAATACTAGGAGCATCTAAACCAGACATCAGGTGTAAATCCATCCCGGGGTGGAGGGACAGGGCCTTCACAAAGAGGATAAGCCAATACCCCCGAAGGTTGGAGCCCAAAATGCAATCAGTGAGGGATCAGAGGAGCCTCAATGTTTTTAGGTCGCCATGTGGCCCCACAGGCAGCGCAGAGTTTTACAGTTTTAACACAAACACATCTGGGTGACTGGTTAACTACCCTTTTATTAGGTAGTGGGGGGGGGGGGGATATCTTCTCAACTCTCCAAGTACAATGGCATGATGGCTTTCACTGCAGTCTTACCTTCATACCTGACCCTAGGCCAATAGATTATGTTGCAATTCCAAATTGAATTGTTTTTTGGCCTACAAAATGATCTCAGAGGCCTCTGGCTTCATCAAACCCTACATTGTGCATCAGACTGAACAGTTCCCTACAAAATGTTTTTGCTGCCAGCCACAACTGACTTTGGCATACCATAGGTTGACAGCTTTACAAGGTGCATTCCATTTTTTATACCAAAAGATGTGCTACCTAGTTACCCAAGTCATGCAAAGTGTGGTGCAGCTACACTTCACATCAAACAACTATGTTGTCTATGCCTTTAGGGTAAAATGGGACCACCCCAGCAGGGTGTGTGGTAATGGCCTATACCCAAAATGATTGGCATCCATACCTTTCTAGACATGAAGGTCTGTTCACTCCTTGACTGATGCCACTTCAATCTTTGCATGATGGATGCAACTTGGAAATGCAAAACTTGGACTTAACTCTAAATCACAGCTGGCAGAATGTGGAAGATTTACAATAAATCATGGTTACACTCACATCCAGATGTGAGAATGAAAGTAACAAGTAGAGGAATCAAAAGTCATGTGCAGGTAAAAAGGGCATTTACACAAAACCAACATGTTGAGAGCCATGACTAGAAGACATTAGATATAAGTTGTACTAGAGCAAATGCGGTCATAGTACTTTTGCAAAAATGGGCAGCAATTCACCCAAACTTTTTGGTAAGATATTTATTCATAGCAGCATATGAGCAAGTTCAAGCTGCAGATGCTTAGCAGCATCCCATTTTTATAGACTGTGTTATAGGAGTGTACAACTGCGGACTGAAATGTAACTAACATGTAACATGTAACTAACATGTAAGAGTTTTACATGTACATTTCCCTGTCCTGACACTAAGACTTACAAAACTCTGAACTCTCCTAATTCTTCTACTTCATGAAGCTCCATAGCAAAAGCATCATCATCAACATAAAAACACCAACCAAATGCATTAATAGATAGGCAATGTGTTTAGTGATGTCCTAATGAACTGATCACCACCAATCATGCAATATTTAATATGCTCAAGGGCAAATATCATCTATGATGGCAATGCCACAGCAGGGTCTGATATTCAAGATGAAAATGCTGCAGAGTAAACTTCGAGCAGCCTTGCCAGATTTCTATATGAATGCCAAACAAGGGCATAGTACCCAAACTGAATTGGGGGAGAGGGTTAACAGTTAAATTACCCTACCTGCCCTAACACATGCTGACAAACAGACTTCCCCCTTCAATCCCAAGTTGGCGGAGGGGGGGGGGGCTGAACACCAAGTTGGGTTAGGGGCTGAAACCTAAGTTGGGGGGAGCTGAAGCCCATGATGGGGGAGGGGGGGGGGGGGGGCTGGAGCCTCCCCAACTGAATAGGAAACTAAAAGCCTGATGCCAAACCGTTTGGCCAGTGATTGCATGATTACCTAGGTCCTCACACCGTGTATTACAGAAGCAGGAGAGCATACCCACCAAGCGTCGCTTCCTACACCCCCGCAATTCGAGCCCGCACCTCCCGCACCTTTAATCTATTAGCTTAGCCGCATCCACGCACAAAGTCCCCCTCCCCCATAACCACATTGTCGTAGCTGCGCTAAATATGGCAGCCGGCGTTGCTATTCTTTTTCACACTCAGTGTGATTTGACATTTAATTCATATATTCCTGCATGGAAGGCCGTATAGTGATAAATGAGCAGGTCATTGAGTTTACAACACAAAGTTAACTTTTATCGCATTAATATTGGTAATAAAAACTACCCACAACAATGTCGTTTCCTACGTTCTACGGTATTTGTATAAAACGGGATAGCTGTTGGTGGCTTCTCGCGATCCAGCCACGGTTCTCATCGTTCACATTTGAGAGCGTGATGGGATACGGGCGCTCTCAAATGTGTGTATAATTAAACTAATTGCATTTGTAGTCATCCCTCCATTAGCTCTGGATTTAAGACCAACAGTGGAGACATTTTGCCCTGGTGCAAGATTGACTTAACTTGAACGGAAGAAACGACTGAACGACGATATGGTGAGCCTATTTTTATCCCCGCATGCTTTTGCCTTGTCAAGCTGGGAAAGGTGCCAACAGAGCGGATTGATCGAGCATACGTGGTATTTTGAGTTGTAGATA